TTTCCCAATTTGTCAAATGGGGCTAGTAATAGCCTCTACCTCACAGGGTTGTTGTAAGGATAAAATGAGATATTTGTAATATGCTTTGTGAACCTTAAAGCACTGCTTAAATGCTGCCAATTACACCTTTCATCTGGTGGCTGAATGGCGGCCTGGACCTTAGAAGGTCCCATTTCTAGACCTGGATTTGATACTAACTGGCTTGTGGTCTAGGGGAAATCACCTTACTTTCAATTCTTTCCTCACCCTCACCACTCCTTTTCCATTATTCTCACCACCCCACCCCAATATTCAATTATATGCTATCTTGTCAATTTTACCAGCTCTCCTCCAGTGGTGGTTGGTTGATTGTTGTCCTTCCTTCTCAGAAAGGACCAAAATGAGTCTGAATGTGCTAATGAGACCAAAATAAGCTCAGAAGGCCCTACCGTAGATTGGGCACAAATAGTCCATATCCACTGTTCATTTGTATTATTACAATAAACTGCTAATTAGAGTCTCAACTTTTAGTCTTTCCACTCTTCAATCCCTTATCCATGCAGTTCACAAAATTGTCTTTCTAAAACATGATTAAAAAACCAATTTCCCCTAGAATAAAATACAAACTACTCAAACTGCCATTTACAATGCCTCACAGTCTGGCTCCATCCTACTTTTCCAGATATATTTGACCAGTCAGATTGGCCTCCTTAGGATCATAGAATCATGAACTTAAATACTGAAAGGAATTGTAGGGGCCGTCTAATTCAACCCTTTCATTTTACAGATGAGGAAATGGAGGCCCATTGAGATTAAGTGACTTGCCTGTGGTCACAGTTAGTGAATGGAAGAGCCAGGATTTGGAACAAGGGCCTCTTTCCTAGCTCTTACTCCTATAACAAGCTACCTTCTCTTTTGCTTTCCCCCCAAATCAGAATTCTATTTCCACCTCTATGCCTTTGGACAGGCTATTCTCCATGTCTGAAATGTACTCTATCCTCACCTCTGCCTCTATTCACTAAACTCTAGTGGATCATCTTTAACTCTAGGATTAAGTATAAGTTCCTCTATTTGGCTTTTAAAATTGTTCACAACTTGGCCTCAATCTGTCTCTCCAATTTTATAATACATTACTCTTCTTCCTGTACTTGACTGTCCTGTCAAACCATCCTTGTTGTTCCTCATACACCTTATTCCATCTCTCACATCTGTGCTTTTACACTGGCTGTTTCTCATACCTAGGAATGCTCCTCTTCCTGACCTCCCCCTCTTAGAATCCTTGTTTCTTTAGAAATTCTACTCATGAGCTACCTTCTGGTACCTACTTTTCTGATTTCCCCAATCCATCCAGGTGCCAAATGCTGTCTCCCATATAAAATTTATATGTATACACATGAACACAGACACACAGAGACGCATATATATTTATACTTATTTATGTACATGTCTGTCCCTTCAGGGCAGGGACAGTTTCATTTTTGAGCTTGTATTTCAGCACCTTCCCAGTGCAAGCACATTGATTGATTGAGTAGAATCTCTACCTTCAAGGCTGAGTTTATAGGCTCCCTCCTAAAGGAATCCTTGCTCATCTCTTTAGCTGTCAGCCCTCTTTATCCTCTCAGATAATCATGTATATCTGTTTAGATATTTCATTCTCAATCCACACCCCAAATAGTATATAAGCTCTTTAAACACAAGGACTATTTTTTTTTGTTTTATCTTATCTTTGTTTCTTAAGCACCTAGCACAGTGCCTTGCACATAATAGGTGCTTAATAAATGTTTGTTGGACTGAGCAATCCGAAGAGAAGGGAAGTTACATTAGACAAAACAAATTCTTTCTTATTTCTTGACTTAAAATCAGTTTCCTGTGAGAGAAAAGAGCATATATAAGAAAATGCTTCTTAGTGAACATAGTGGACTAGAAAAGCATATGTATTTCACCTTTCAATTTAATAAAGCTGTGTTGTGTCTTCTATGTTTAATTTGAGAGCCAATTGTGGCATAATTGATAGAGAATTAACCTTGGAGTTAGGAAAACCTAAGTTCAGGTCTAACGTCAGACACATACCAGGTGACTCTGGTGGTGGTTAACTTTTCAGTGCCCAAGCCATTGTTTAAGATTGTAAATCATGCGCAGTAAGACGAACTGCCTTGATAGAGGAAGTTCATCACTGCAATCTTCCTATAACAAAGAGATCTCAAATCCAGTAATCAGTCCAAAACACACACACACACACACACACACACACACACACACACACACACACAGAGAACTAGGGGAAACATGGTCCCTGACCTACCAAAGGGGTTAGGGCTAGAAGAGAAAGTAGTACCATTCAGCTTAGTCAATAGGAGAAAGAAAGGATTGTGTTTATGGTAATTCACAATTAGTTTCTATACATAATACTTATTAAATCTCTGGATTACAACACTAGGCTTATCTGTTTCTTCTATTGCAGGAGTCAAAGGAGGAATACAAGTTCTAATAATGATGACTTGCATCTACATAGAATTCTTTGTACATAAGCTCTACAGAACCCTAAAAGTGTAATTTGGTCTCTTTCATTGAACGAGCTTATATCATTCAGATGATCAGTGATGAAAACCAGAACCCTAATTATCTATGGGTGGAGTAGAAATATATTGCTAGAGTCCCTAGGCAACTAGGTGACAGCCAAATGGAGAGGGAACCAAAATGGAAAGGGACATTTTCAAACTTACATGGTTATAAAAAGTTTTACCATTTGTGAAGGTGGATGTTGTATTTCTCTTCTTGAAGGCAGGGATTGATTGTTTCATTTTTGTCCTTTTATCTCTAGTGCATACACAAAGTAGGCACTTAATAAATGCTCATTGGATTAGATTGAATCTTGAACCTGGATTTGGTGATAATGATGATGCCCCTGCCTTATCTTGACAAGCTTGACTCTACCCAGAAAACATTTTCAACCTTGGACTATTCTGACAGAGTTTAGTTCCATGCTTGTTAGAACACTCCAATGAAGTGAAATTGTGTCACAAGTTGCTGAGTAATTGGTAATTGCAGCCCTAAAAGTTTATGCTTCTGTTATTGAAGCCCCAACTCCAGAAAGGATCCTTCCATTCTTTTGGCAGTTCCTTAATTAACCCCTCTAGAAGCCTAGTCTTTGAGCCTTAGCCAAACCCTTTCCATGTATGAGACATGTCAGTCTTCTTGCTTCTTCCCCTAGAAGTGTTGCAGAACCAACTCTCATGATGACATCAACAGATGCTTCCCAAATCAGCACTATCAAAGTCAGACTACACCAGAGAGCAAGCAGGTTATTCCTCTGAGGACACTTAATCAGTTCATTCTAGGTACCTGTTGACTGACCTGCAGATTCTTCTCATGGGTCTCAATGAATGCTTGGTGGTTGACTGGTCATGGGGATTGGCCCTGCCTGCCTCAAATAGGGACTCCAAAACAAACCATGCTATGGTTCTCCCTTCGCCACATGCTGCACACATGAGAAGCTGTCTCAGCTGTGCCACCCAGTGCAGAGAAAGGCCTACTAACTTCCCTGGTAAACCATGGCAATGAGTCTTAAGCAGCAGTGTCAACCTTACTACACATTTTGTCAGGCATGAATAAGGTACCTCCCTCAGTTTCAAAGGATTCAATTTCTCCCCACACACCAGAGAGAGGGCTATTCCTCCACCCTCTACTGATTTGCCTATTTGAATAGGATCTAGGAAGCTAAGCCACCTGTTCCTAGGCCCTACAGCAAAATAACTTTCCCCCCTATGTGAGTCCTTGTTCTTACCAGTGAACGACTTTGTATTTCATGGAATTCCCCGAGGAGGTGCTCCCACACCTCATGAAGGCAGGAAAATAGCTTTGTCTGCTGTAGCTGAAGGAACTCCTTCCTCCTGAAGGAGGCCAGTGTGGAGGTGAGGAGAAGTGAGTTCAGTCCCACCACTGTTATTTACTTACTTGTTAGACCTTGGAGAATTTATTCATTCCTTTATATGTAACATGAGCAGGTTGGATTAAATAATCCTTAGGTCCCTTTGGGCCCTAAATTTCACAATTCACAACTATGCTTTTAAGTAAAAGTATGTCTGTTGGATGTACATCTGCTCCTAAATAGGGGGATGGAATCGCTGTGACTCTCTGGATATTAAGATTTCCAGAATGCATTTCTCCTGGAACTGGACCCTTGAAGGAAATAATTTCTAAGTACTTTCTATAAATATTTGACATAGTTACAATGTTGCCTTCAGTAAGCTAATAACTACTTTCAAGGGTCCCACCCTGGGTAACTGAGGTATCAAAGCCTTTTTTTTTTTTTTCAGCAGATATGAAGAGCTTACCAGAAGGCACACAGAAGAATAGGTTTTAAAAGTACTGCTGAGACACCTACTGGCCCAGTGTCCAGAAACTCTATTTCCTGGAAGTCCTGAGCAAGGAATGTTTAAGGTTGTCAGTACCTCAATGGAAACTGCACTTGGTTTAAAGTTAAGTTGTAAGCCCCAACAATGCTGTCACTAATCAACCCACATAGTTCAATACACTGCTAGTCTACCTGAGCAAAATGCCATTCATACCACATAATCTCAGTACAAAGGACTTTGCTTTCACTCCATTTTTGCTGTGTTTCCCTCTCCAAATGTATGTCATGCACAGGCCTAGGGACTGAAGATGATTTGGGCCAAGGAAGGTCCTCACTCATGCCTCAGACACACTCCCCAAATTTCAAGAGAGAAAATGAAAGGTCACATGACTCTCCCTGTTCCCTTCATAAAAATGTTATCGGAGGAAAAAAGAATTCTCTTCTTCTTAGAGAAAATTCTATCCAATCTCCTACCCAATTTCACTTGAGAAAATTTCAAAGCAAGTGGCAGCTAGAGCCAAAAGAATGAAAACAATATAAGAATATATACTTAAGACATTGTAGAGAAAGGACAATCTTAAGGTGTTTAATGGTCACTTTGAATTGATCCAAATGGGCTTAGCAGAGGTCATTTAAGTAAAGCAAAGAGAAGAAAATCGGTTCTTACCTGTGTTTCTCTAATGATCCCATTTCTTTTATGGTTTCCACTTTGGCAGCCATTGCTCTGTTTCTGGTGATTGTGAAGTTTTCCATTACAGACAGTACCACCTCCTGGATTAGCCATTTGTTTAAATGAATGACCCCGTGAAGTTTCTTCTTCCAGTTTCTCTGGGATCTTGGCTTTTGAAGTTAGTGAATGATGGGATAAAGTTTTGGGTTGAGCCCTAAAAGGAATCCTACTGGTCTATCAGGCTTTTCCAGAAGAGGAGTGACTGCCTATCTTTTTGCCAGATCTTTGAAACTGAAAACAAACTGTTACCTTTACACACCTCCAACCTCAATAAGTCAGAATGCAGACTCCATAGCAACTAACCTGTTTCTAAAACTACTGCTCATTCTGGTTCCTAGCGTGGACAGGCAGCCAGCTCAGTCTACCGTAGCTTGTAGGCTAAATGAAAGTGGGCGGGCAGGGAGGTGGAGAGTCATTTAAAGACACAAAGCCTCTGAATTAGTCTGTTCAAAATTGTTGGCTCCCTCTCCTGGCCTTCCCCTCCCCACCTAATGTTTGCATTCACAGTATTACAGATTTAGAGTTGAAAAATACTTTAGAGGTGGGAAAATCAAGATTTGAACTATGGTTCTTGAATTCCAAATCTAACTTTCTTCCCAGTTTTCTCTTCTTTACCTCTAGTATAGGAGTTCTGTGGTCACTAACTCAAACAAAACCTTCACATTAACATTTCTAGAATTGGTCAATTACACTAACAGAAAAAACATTTCTTCCTTTTCTAATATTGCATCTCTAATGGTTAAGGCTTGCATATCATTATAGCAATGGAACGATTTGTCTTTTATAAGGAAAAGACCTTAGAGATCACCTAAGTTCAACGCCCTCATTTTATAGATAAGTTAACTGAGGCTTGGTGGGGTGGAGCAACTTACCCAAGGTCACACAGTATAAAAACAAACTAGACTAGAACCCAGGTCAATGATTTACATTTTGCTATTAATTTAAACAGTTTTGAACCCACCAAACATTAAAGTCCACAGAGATAAGGAATTAAGAATAAAAAAATCGCTTTGAGTTAATGTTCTTAGATAATTTGAGAAGCAAGTAATATAGTTTTAGCAATAGTTGTTGGGTCACATTTATCATGTGATTGAAGGTGAGTCATTTAGTCCTCTTTACCTCAGTTTCTCTGTCTGCAAAATAAGGGAACTGATTCTTAGCAAGTTTGCCTGGATCCCAGCCAACTTTATTTGCTCAGTGGAGTCCTAGTGGAGCAGAATGAGGTTAAGGTAAGTGGTCAGTTTTAGATTGGAAGATTGAACTAGATTAGCACAAGGGATCAGTTGGAATGAGGAGTTTGGTGTAGAGAGGAAGAAAGGAAAGCAAAGATAAATGAAAAGAATGATCATGCCTAGATTATGCTGAGGAATCAATCCATATTTAACTGACTATTTGCATCTGTAATAAAGGTGGAAGATACCAGGGGACCAACATATGAGGACCAACATATGAAAACATTTGTATTTTGTGAAGAATGTGGTCTGGCAAAATTTTCAGAATGCAGGTGATTCCAGGGGAATGGATGTCTTCACCAGTAGGTTGAAGTGACAATGGTATCAGGAAGAAAGATAAAAACAAGAGGTATTTTTCAAAACAATCAGGGAAATATGACTTCTGGCTTACAATAATACCTAAGTAAGGAATTTCCAGTGTTTGTTTCTGATGACCTCACAAAAATGGAAACGTATTCCCAAGTCCTGAACCTAACTAGTACCCTTAGGGTAGTAATTTTCCCTGTCTCTAATTGGGAATCTGAGTGTTGTGGTAGATCAGACACCTGCTGGATGTTTTTTTTCCTATGCCACTGGAGCATAAATCTTGTCAGGTGTCAACTAGAAAGGCTCCAAGGACAATTCTTGTGATTAACTATACTTATCTCTTGTCCAAGGACTGATCTAATCAAGTACCGAGGCTCATCAGTCACCAGCAATGGGCTATAAGATGAGGATTTTTTTTTTGGGGGGGGGGGGGGGGGGGGAAATCACAAGAATCTATATTGCCATATCTGCATTTTATATGATAGAGATTAATAGGCACTGGTGAAAACTACTTTAGTAATTGCTGTGAAATTTCAACAAAATGATTATAGGGAGTGAAGTGTTGAACTCACCATGTGAAGCTGGAAATAAACATCCTTCTATTACGAATCCCTAAAGCCACTACACTTGAGGGTTTATTGTTATTTATGCCTTAATTGTAAAATGAGGGGAAACTAACCAGTCCCCCCAACTCCTTGGGCAAAGCTCTCTTTCCTTTAAAACAGCTTTAAAGTTGGGCTTTAAAAAATGTATTAATGGGGGCAGCTAGGTGGCACAGTGGATAGAGCACTGGCCCTGAAGTCTGGAGGACCTGAGTTCACATTTGACCTCAGACTAAACACTAAACACTTACTAGCTGTGTGACCCTGGGCAAGTCACTTAACCCCAATTGCCTAAAAAAAATGTATTAATGATCTAGAAATGGATTAAAGTACAAAGGGCATAGGAGGTAAAATTGACAGGCCTTGACAACAGATTTGATGTGGAGAATGAGAGAGTAATGGGAATTCTGTTTTGGAAAGGTTGAGTTTAAGGTGCTACTGGTGCATCTATGTGGAGATGGCCAGTAGGCAGCTGGTGATTTAAAAATGAAGTTCAGGAGAGAAGTAGAGAAGAATGTGTAAATTTAGATATCATGTTCATAGAGACAATAATTGAACCCATGAGAGATGATAAGCTCATTAAGGGAGAAAGCAGGGAGGGAGAAAAGAAGGGGGGGGGGGAAGGGGTAAAGGGGGGTGGGGAGGTGGTGGAAACTTTTAGGGATATCTCCTCTTAAGGGATAAGAAATGAATGGTGAAATAGCAAAGGATCTTGGGGAGTAGTCAGATAGGTAGAGAGTAAAGAGAAAGTAGTTTCACAGAAGAAAAGGGTATCCAGATGGAGGAGGTGTTTGACAGTGTCAAAAAGTACAGAAAAAGTCTAGGACAATATGGTCTGAAAAAAGGCTATTAGGTTTAGCAATCATGTGAGGCTTGGGGAAGCCTTCCAGCTCAGTTGATGTAATGACTGAAAGCTGAGATTGGTAATGACAAGGTGTAAATGAGGCAACTGCTGGTTCAGTGGATAGAGTGTTAGACCTGCAGTCAGGAAGACCTGAGTTCAAATCCAGCCTCAGGCACTTAATAATTGTGTGACGCTAGGCAAAATCACTTAACCTCAGTCTACTTCAGTTTCCTTAACTGTAAAATTTAGATAATAATAGCATAGCACAGTTGTGAGGATCAAATGAGTTCATATTTGTAAAGATGGAGTAGGGGATTTCTTTCCCTCTTGTTTACCTTCCTAGCAGACATAATGGCCTACAACTTAAACATATGGTGGTTAAGATGGGGCTACCCAATAAGTCAGTCAAAAAATATTCGTTATGCTCTTACTATATGCCAGGCCTTGCATTAAGGTCTGAAGATTGAAAGAAAGGCAAAAGACAAGGAGCTCACAGTCTAATAGAGGAGACCACATGCAAACAATTATATGTGGAAAGCAGGATTTTACCTGGGACTTGAAGGATGCCAGGAGGCAGAGATGAAGAAAGAGAGCATTACAGGCTTGGGGGTCAGCTGGTGAAGACGTCTAAATTCAGAAGATGAAATGTCTTGTTCAAGGACCAGCAAGGAGGCCAATTTCACTTGATCAGAGTATCTGGGAAGATATAAGGTATAAGAAAGTGTGGGAGAGAAGGTTAAAAGGGGATTAAATGACAAACAAGAGGATTTTATGTTTGATCCTAGAGGTGATAAGGAACCGATGGAATTTATTGAATAGACAGGTGACATGGTTAGGCCTGGGCTTTAGGAAGATCACTTTGACAGCTCAATGGAGGATGGATTGGAGTAGAGAGAGACCTGTTGTAGGCAGACCAACTAGCAGGCTATTTCGGTAGTCCAGGGATGAAGTGATCAGGGCCTATGATAGGATGGTACAAGTGTCAGAAGAGAGAAGGGGGCACAGGAGAGATGTGAGAAAGCTGAAATCAATAGGAAGTAATAACAGAATGGTTAAAGGGGTTAAGAAGTGATCAGTGAGAGATTAGGAATTAAGAATAATCATTAGATTGTAAGCCTAGGTGACTAAGAGGATAGTGGTACCCTCCACAATAAGAGGGAAGTTAGAAAAAGAAGAACGTTTGTGGGGTTAAGTTTTAGACATGTTGAGTTGAAGATGCCTATGGGACAAATAGGTCTAGATGCCCAATAGCAATTGGAAATGCAAGACTAGAGGTCAGCTAGATAAGTAGATGTGAGAATCATCAACACAGAGATGATAATTGAATCCATGGGAGCTGATGAGATAGTGAATTAGTATAGAGGGAGAAAGGGTCCCAAGACAGAACCTTATGGGACACTCATGCGTACCAGGCATGTTCTGACTGAAGATCTAGCAAAGAAGAGAAGCAAAAGTCCAATAGATAGGAGGAGAACCAGGAGAGCAGTGTCACAGAAACCTAGTGAGAAGAGAATATTAAGAACATGAAGGTGATTAACAGTGTCAAAGGCTGTATACAACTTAAGAATACAGCTTGAGAAAGGGCCATTAGATCTGACAATTAAGAGGTTGTAACTTTGGAGAAAATGAGTGGACTGGAAGCCAGACTATGGTTAAAAAGGGTTAAGGGTTAAGGTTAAGGGTTAAATAGGGTTAAGAAGAGATGAGAGGAAAGGAAGTAGAGGCACACATTGTAGATGGCTTTCTCAAGGAGTTTGTCCCTAAACTGAGGGAGAGATATGTAAATATAACAAGCAGGGATGGATGGTTCAAGTGAGGATGTTTCTGAGAATGGGAGAGACCTGGACATATTTGTAGGCAGTGAAGAAGTAGCCACTAGGCAGGGAGAGATTGAAGATAAGTGAGACAGTGGGGAATGATAGGTGTGCTGACAAAGATGGCATGGAGTGGGATCACCTGTGCATGTAATCTGCCTTGGTAAAGAGAAATGCTACCTCATCATGTGAGACGAGGGTAAAGACACAGGTAATTGCAAAAGGCATTGGAGTAATGTGAGATGGGGAAGAGGAGAAAAGAGGGAGCTCTTGATTTTGCAGCATGAGGGCCCATTTCAGATTATGTTACATAAATTTGTGGTGGACCGAGTAAGCATGGTTTTGTGATTTTTCTCCAGTTTCATTTGGAGGCACGAGTAGGATTTAAGGCAGCAGATGGTGGGAGTAATCTGAGGCTGAGACTTGACAGGATGAGCTAGGCGAGCCTGAGGCAGACACTGCGAGCTTCAAGTCATTGGCTGCCTCTTGCTTTATGTTTCTTTTCCTGAACATAGGTGACCAAATA